GACTCGGTTCCAAGAAGTCCCGGAGACCGGGAAAAAGGTGGATAGAGGTGGCGAAGGAAATGAAGCAACTGCTATTGGTGGGCGGGGCATGCACAAAAGTGGCGGAGTTATCCACGAAAATTATAACTCGGTCCCAAGAAGTCCTGGAGACCGGGAAAAAAGTGGATCGAGTCTGACAACGGAAGGAGGTCAACAGCTATAAGTGGGTGGAGCGTGCACCGAGGTGGACGGAGTTAGGCTGGAAGCATTCATACCGCAAGCCAAGGGCCTAGGTATCGATGGCCCTGTTTCATACCGCAGCAGTCTGTGAGGATCTGTGTGGAAATTAGCAGCACGCACGGCTCCAGGTTTATATGGAAAGCAGAGTTCTTGGTTTCCATGTTGTGATCCTGGAACCGGCCAAGCTATTGACAAGAAGCCTAAGCAGCGGCAGAAGTCCCAACCAGACATTCCTTGGACTGTGACTGTCCATTGTAAGGTTCCTCCCTTATTTATGGAGGACAGGAAAAGCATGTTATAACAGTGATCCAGGGCCCTCACAATAAATATTACATTCATTTTGGCAGCACTTTGGCGTTACAATTTTCTCCACCAATTTTCGTGAAACCTTTTTGTGCAGGTCATTGGTGCTTGGCGCTTGTTCCATTTGCCACTATCATGCGAGCCAGTTTGGAACGCAAAATTTTGTCATTATAGAGGGTATCAAAACCTCTTTTTCACTTCATCTAGGCTTTTGAAGAACTTCACTGCTGGCTTACGAGGACGCAAAAAAGTTTTGAAAAGACGCAGCCAGCTCATATTCGAGATTGAGCACTCAAGTATTCGTGAGAATAACAAGTCGAATTGAACTTACTTGATAGAAAAGCTGCGGCCGATCGGGAAGCTTTCGTAAGAGCCTCATCATCTTTTGAAAGTCCATATTGAAACCGTGTTCCCTCACCCACGACTGCACTAAAAATTGATCTATTTCGCACAAGGACGGTGTGATAAAAATGAATAAATGGAAGTAGAATTTGACGAACCTACAGGACCATAGCTTGGTGGTACACCTTGTACTGTTTTAAAGTGTAGGGCATCAGCCTGCTCGTCTGGTCCTGACATTAGAGTGGAAAAATCGGGGACGAAATCAGGCATTTTCTCAGGAAACTAAACCGAGATAATATAACCCCAATATGAACTTTGACAATGGATACCAGATTCATACCCTATTCAAAATCAAGCAAAAGTCGTCATCAACTTTTTCCGCGGAGATACATCCATACTTCGATTCGTTAATTAACACCATAGCGATGGATTCCTTAAATATCAAATAATGAAGGATTGCCTGCTTCTGCTGGTGGCGCAAGACATCTAAAGGAACATGCCTGCACTTTTGATCAACGGCTGACACCCGCGACAAAAAATGGTGAATGATTGCTGCCGTGCGCGCAAAAAGAGTCTGTCTCAATTGGCTTTATGCGCAAACCCCTCCTCCTATAATAGCCAAGGAGACCCTAGTGGCCGGTCAGAAGCAAGCCCACTCATATATCAAACACTACCCCCTCATTGAAACCTGTACTGCGAGCAATTTCAGCTGAAGAAAAAAGTTCCTACAGTCTCAAGTAAAGCTGGACCCATGGTACCAAGCAAATCTTCGCTTCCTTGCTCCTCTGTCCGCACGAAATCCTAATTGAATCGTCGTATCGGGTGCTTATTATTTTTTTTGAAGTTGCACTTCTCTTACTGAACGATTACATAATTGTTGCCGTTGATGAAATAGGCACATACCTGAGAAATGAGGGACCGCCGTGAGGCGTTTAATCGCACAACCGCGTCTCTCAATCATAACGCCGGGATAAGGGCGCAGCCCCGGTCGGCCCGACTCCGTTAATGCCTCTAGAAGCGTATGCACGGCTAAAGTTCCCGATGGCGACGGGGCTAGTCCAAACAAGGGGCGTGTTGGAGCCGCCGATAAAAAATTGACCGCCTCTTAGTATGCCCTGCAGATGCTACTAGAGACGCGCCACATTCTTCAGCGAGACGAGGTGTGCCACGCGACCTCAAGAGGCTCCCTTGTAGTAAGCATATTCCATATTCTTTGAGCTCAAATTCATCGCGGAATTTTCCTTTGAAAACTGCTTGAGGAACAGGTTTTTTTTTAAACTTGGCTGTGCCATCCATGTAACCTGGTTTAATTGCAGTAGTCATATTCTTGCTCGAATGAAGAACCTCATATGTTATGACTGAAACTCACATGTAAACTACAGATACCGTGTGAGTTTTATTACTCGGAAATTTCAGACAAGCCAGTACATAAAAACTCACGTTGATGTTCCGCAGCCTGCTGGCGAAGGGTGTTGTAATAACTGGACACCCATCTACGGGAAATTGGAACCATGATTGGCTAGATCGGAACAAATCCGATAACGTTATGCTTCAGGATAATGCCCGCCCAGTCGTGATGGATGCCAGCTAAAAATACAGAGCGATGTTATCCAATACAATCAGGAGGAGGAATTTGACAAGCTGTTCACTTGAACTCACCGATATTGATGCCGTTAAATTACCGACATAGAGTATTGTGGAGTCGGGTTCCAATACTGATTTCATCAGTTCATCCACAAGTATGCTCACATCGTTATAATCGCTATACCGCAATACCCACTGTTTCGCATTAGAGTTTGAAAGCTAGAAACGGATGTTAAAAACAGATATATTTGGTGATGAGAACAGTAAACAAGAACTGAACAAGAACAGAACAAGAAAAGTGCGGTGGTAATGACTAGGACCAGGATGCGTATTCAATGTTTCTTACTCTACTGAGAGTGGACCTGCGCCACAAGGCACTGTCATCGTAATGCTGCTATCGCAACTCTCTAATTGTAAATCAGAAGGAAACAGGAACATTAATAGACCGCCAACTGTTTCCAGCAATAGATAACCTAGTTTGAAGGCAGATGGTGCGCTAAAGTGGTCGCTTCATGAAATAGGAAGTAGAGGGGCTAATACGGCGCCGCTAAGCAGAAAAAATAAAGGGTGTTTTCTTGTTGATTTTCTTGCTGAATGAGGCTCAGTCTGCTGACGTCATCAACATGAACATTCTACTGTGCTCTTCTGCCAAATAAAACATAACACAGACGGCCAAGGCATCGATCACCAGCCGAGGCAGCCACCAGAAGGGAGCTACCACGAAAGCCTCTGCCATGCGTAAAGTCTTGTTGGTTGGCTTCGGGTGTGCCACAGCTTGTTCTCTCATGGTGAAACCTCGCCTTATGTCAAACATATTCACAATTCTCAACTTATCGCTCCACCTCCCTTTCATACGAAAATCGAAAAGTTATAGAAACTATGGCCAACCTGTTCACTGGCGGAAGCTTTTGCTAGCTCGTTCAGTTCGGATATCTGATCAGAATTCGTTGGTGTTAGATCAACCACGACTGAAAACATCATACCCAGTGGATATGAGGTAATATCAGCCTAAAGAGCCAATAGATATAGGGACCGTATGGAAACAAGTACATTTTTCGCTAACCTTGAAGGTGGTGGCATCGGTAAGAAGTACTATTGCGTCATCTCGCTTCATTTTGGGCCGGATTTTGTCAAAAAGCCTTCCAAGATGAAGGTTACCCTTGCATGAGCTGGAACACAATTAAGCAGGCATTTGAGAAGATGACAAATGTTCCCAATGGGAGTTGTTTCACCTTTTGTCGGTGAAACATGCACTGCTCATTGGCAGCTGTGCGGGAAGAAAAAGGGAAAATAAGAGACTTACGTGATTGCTTTTTCGATGGCTGAAGCAACCTCATCATTTACAGCCGCTGATTGAACGCAAACAGTATTGCCCCAGTACTGAAGGAAAAAATACAACAGATCATTGTGATAAACAGCTTCCCAATTTTTCAAAGGAAATTCGAGAGAGCCCGAAATTGGGCATTTTTGTGAGATATGGAAAAGCTTAATAGTCTACGTACAAAGTGAATACACATTGTTTCAAAGTTCTGTAAAGAATTAAGACTTCTAGAGTAGCTGTGAAAAGGAGCAAAATACAGCAGTTAACACTCTCTGCCCAGGATCGAATTTCCACATTAAACAAATACATGATGCGTAGCGTATTTCACACTTCGTATTTACAGCTCCTTAGGATCAATTACACAGTGATCGATAAGGTTCGTGTCTCACATGCATCGAAGGATTGTCTTTTGACAATTTTGCAAGTAAAGAGGTCCTCAAGATTGCAATTTAGTTTCTTGCAAGCACTTCCTCCAGGCTATATGATCAATCGACACAAGAACACTACATCGAATGAGAGGAACGCTCGCTTATACGAACGGCAGCGAGCCTTTTACGGCACTATCCTGAATAGGGAGAAAAAGGGAAAAAAAACACAGTGACATATATTGAGCGTATTCACGCAGAAGAACACCGATACCCTTGTTTCCATTATGAGTCATTCTAAGGAACGCATAGCACAGATTATGGGACACTCCCTGATAGAAATGGAACGTAAAACGGGGAACTAGAGGGACTGCGAAGGATAGTTCCACTCAGTACCGTCCGCATCAGGCCGCTAACGCCCTTATATATACTCTCCTGCTCTTCGCTCAGTAATTCACTGCTTTACATAGTCGCATACGAAGGTGAGACAAGCCTAAAGGCGCTTCTATAAAAAGAGAGATTCTTTTTATTCCGACTCTGCCTAATTTTCGCACTAGGTACTTGATAATGAAAATACAACTAGTTGTGATCGTGGCCTTATAAACGTCGGGTTTGTCAAACAGAAACGGGAACTGAGCACAATATATTCTTTTCTGTTGTACAATTATTTCTCAATTAGTACTTAGCAACGTCGCCAAACGCGCACATTGTCAATCACGCTGCGGCCGACGCCGCATTCTTGTCTACGGCGATTCTTGGAAGGAATTCTTCTGAGACCCGACCCACCCTCCCGAAAAGACGGATCGTAGTAGCATTTCCATAAATTTGGAGTCAGACATGGGAGCGGGGAATGGGCAGCGAATCGCAGTTCAGAAAACATAAAAACATATTTTTTACATAGGCTCCGTCCATTTCGGCACATTTTTCCAAGATCACATCACTCCATTCAAACCGTTCAATTATGTAATGCTTCCTGCTAGGTTCAAGGTGAATTGACTTTGCAAAAAAGAAGCCCAATTTGATAGGTTACGGACCCAATCTTAGAAAATTGCTAAGCCCCTATTATTAGCAGCAAGCAGGCATAGTTTGCTGTTGTGCGTGGTACATCAACGGCCGCATATCCTTTTCAATATAATAACGTCAAGACATCTCCAATGTGAGAGTACATTTTAGTAAAATCATTTTTTTGTGAGTGATATACATATTGAGTTACTTATCACAGTTACACCCGTACACGTTGAAAATCCACTACAACTGAAATTAACATGAAACAGGCACGCATAAACAGTGCCCAGTTAGAGCTGCTCACCTATACAATCACCAAAAACTGGATTAGCCAGTGAGTTAATTGGAGCAATAGACACAACGAAAGAAAGATCCCTAATATAGAGCCAAATAAATAAGATAAATTAACCTTTACGAAACACAATCACACGATTGGGCACTGACACGTACAAGGGTACAACCGATGTGTTTCGATACAGTAACAAAGGCACAGCTATGAATATAAAGCTCTGTGTTCCAAGCACTTATTCCCCACATCGAACAATGAAAGCGGGTACTGTATTACACCTAGCCTGGAAAGTGAGAAGAAACTCAAACTGCTTGAATACTAAGATTTGAAATGAGTATATGGTGAAATAAATAAGCTACTCTAACTAATGATGCTAAACAATAACAGCGAAAAACAGAATGCAAAGATTGATTGATTTCGATCGTAAACAGCTCTCTAGACTGCATACCAATTCAACACCATTCGAAACATACGAAAACACTTGTCACAAAACCAGAAAATCTACCATCATTGGCTTTCTCAAATACCCCAAAGATCGTTTTGCTCCTCTTGAGAGGGTGAAGGATCTAAACTACAATGAAAGTGCACTGTTTGTTGAGCAAAAAATTAAATGACAATTTGGCGACTGCTGATAAACACCCTTTTGGATATATGAAATCCAAGCCTTCTCAGAAAGCACACAACGCACTTTAGAACTCTACGCATAGCCGACCGAACGAAAGGAAGACAGACTTGTTGTGTCACTCGAATTCAGCGTCATGTAGCTCCATATGGACCGATTACGCCTCATTCCAGTTGATATGTCCTCCTTCAGAATGACAACAGCAAACGCTGCCACAAGGACAATCATGGCTCCCATTAGAAGCCAAAGGGTAAACGACGATGGTAATGAATTATCGTGAGGATGTCTGAAGAACGAGATTGAGACTGGTGAGCTTTCAAAAGGAAGAAATGGTTTGGTTCACTTACCTGCTTACGACTAAGTTACTAGCACTATTACGTAACGGGAAGTACCGCATATGATAGATCATTGCGCCCAGTGCCCACTGCACTTCTTGACCTGCGATGTTGAACGCACTCTGAAACGAGTAAGATGTGTTGTGTTGAAATAAAAGTTTTCTCAGATACCTCTGAAACAAATCATCAATATGAGGGCTTCCTACTGTACAAGTCTGGGCTTATACATCTATTCAGTAAAAATAAACTCGAGATCTACGAAGGACGGAAAGATTTCAACTCGGGAATCACGGCTTTTCAGAGCCAAACTTCCGTTTCTTAATTACCTTCCAATCGAGTTGTTACTAAGCAAAAAAAATTCATTAAAAAATTACCACAATGGTTCTGAGTCAAGGGAGACCGGAAACTTAAAATTTT